TCCTCTTCTCTGGTATTCTGGAATCCAAAATAATCCAAAAACCAAAACTTTCTTCATGGATGGCTGAGATAGAGACACCTTTGCTTTCTGATGGTTCAGTGTACACAAACTTTGTTTCATGCACAAAATTATTACAAAATTTTGTTTATAAGGCTATGTTTATAAGGGGTATATGAAACATAAATTAATTTTATGTTTAGACTTGGATCCCATCTCCAAGATACTTCATTACACTTGTTGTTGCGTTACGTGTCCCCAAGTCGTTTCCAAGTTATGACTAGTTTCCAAGTTAGGAGCCTATGAATAGGTGAGCCTATTACAAAATCGTCTGGGGCTGAGAGTGTGTGACTCACCCAAGGTCACCCAGGGGGTTCCATAGCTGAGCAGGGAATCGAACCCTGATTGCTAGAGTCATAGTCTAATGCTCAAACAACTGTACCACTCTGGCACTCACTTATGATGTATCATCCAATCATATGCAAATACAAGTATTCCAAAATCCAAAATACAATAAATCCAAAATGCTTCTGGTCCCAAGCATTTCAGACAAAGGAGACTCAGCCTACAATGGTCTTAATCTAAAAACCTTCTGCTGCATAAAACTATGTTCTTCTTAATGGCAAATGTTGCAACCTATATTCTTTTTACTGAGCAATCTGTTTTAATATTGCAGTAATTTAATTCTATTTCAATGTATCACCTTTGTATGTTTTTAATTGTACCGTAAGCCCCTTTGAGTCCCAGGTTTGGGGTAAAAGTGGGATGTAAATAAATAGAACAACAACATCATCATCATCATCATCATCATCATCATTATTATTATTATTATTATTATTATTATGGAAGATCAGGGTGGCTACAGGTTGTGTCTCCTTGTTCACTGCAGGTTTCAGGTGGATTTGAAGAAAGGAAACGACATTGCCTTCCATTTCAACCCCCGGTTTAATGAGGACAACCGGAAAGTTATTGTGTGCAACACCATGCTGCACAGCACTTGGGGGAAGGAAGAGCGAACAGCCCCCAGGTTCCCTTTTGAGGCTGGAAAACCCTTTAAGGTAAAACAGGAGCTTTTTTCTTTGTAATTTAGGGTGCATCTACACTGTAGAAATAATGCAGTTTGACACCACTTCAATTGCCATAGCTCCGTCCTACAGAATCCTGGGATTTGTAGTTTTGCGAGGCACCAGCACTCTTTGGCAGCAAAGGCCTCATGAAACTACAAATCCCCGGATTCCATAGGACGGAGCTGCAGCACTTAAAGGGGTGTCAAACTGCATTATCTCTACAATGTATACGCACCTTTAAGGTGGGCAACTTTCTCCTGCTCTTTCTCTCATCTCATTTTTACTATTTAATTTCTTAATTCAGACTTTCCCCTGAACCCATTAGCAAGTGGGATGGCAATTTCTCTGTTTTTGCCCCCCTGAGCTGTTTTAGATCCCACAAAGTCCCTTGGCCAAACCAAGAAATGACCAGAAATCACATTTGTGGGTGTTGTGGGTTGTGTTTCTTTTAGCCACCTTGTATACACTAACTTGGGGGGGGGGGGTAAGTGGTTGAAACACATGGGGACATTGCCTATTATATTATATTATATTAATTATATATTTTAAAAAACCTCACATCAAAAATAAAATTTTAGAGGTGAGGGACCTTGGAGACTACAAAAATGGTCTTGGTGCCACATGTGCCTGCCACACTCTTCACAGCTGTTGAACCCAACAACAGCCAACAATAAAACATTGTATGTTAGATCATCTAATGAAAGTCTGTGGTTATTTGCCATCAAGTTGACTTCAACTTATGGTGACCTTATGAATGAGAGACCTCCAAGAACCTCCTTCATCAGCAGAAGGCACCGCATATGGTTGAGCCTCCCAGCATTCCTCACCATTAGTTGTGTACCTAACGCTGATGGGAGTTGCAGTCCAAATTCTGGAGTCTCATATATCTCTCACCCCAAAGCTAAAGTGATAGTATGCGACACAGTTGTGAATCAGGCGGTCTATATTCATAGCCTTCTCCTGCTTGATGGAGATGTCATTGTCCTTTTGCAGATCCAGATCTTGTGTGAAGCGGACCATTTGAAGGTAGCTGTCAATGACGCGCACCTGTTGCAGTACAACCACCGCATTAAAGAGCTGAACCAGATCACCAGGCTGTGCATTGGTGGAGATGTCACCCTCACCAGCGTCACGCCTACCATGATCTAACCCAACCGTTGGCCCATTGCACCGGAGCACTCTTGGGCTGGAATCCTATTGGTGAGCCCCAACTAGAGTAGACCTATTGAACCCAACTGTTGAATGTGAGTCAACACATAGGTAAAGACCAATTGATTCAATAGCTCTACTCTAGGTAGGAGAAACCAATAGTGTCTTAAAATAAGAGCTTTTTAAAAACACACACATATATATTAAAGAGATCTGATGGAGTTAACTTTCTAGGGCAGATGAATAATAAAATGTAGGACCTGCTCAACAATGCCATCTGGTGTCATCTTGTGTCAGTCTTTACTTATTTCCTTTATTTCATTTCTGTGCTGCCTTTTTCTTGGAAAGGGACCCAAGGCAGCTCACAGACAAAATCTCTTTGAAACTTTACAATAAAAATTTAACAACAGTTAAAATCGTCTTGCTAAAACAATGTACAGTTGCCCCTCCCAATTCGTGGGGGATCCGTTCCGGACCCCCACCCACGAAAATATTCGAGCCTCATTGAAACTAATGCCGTGTGCGCCCATTGCATGCGCAGCCATTTTAGCTATAGCTGTTGTCCCTCTCTGTGAAGAGCGAAACCGCGGACCCGAAGTCTGTGAATGGGAAGGGACAACTGTAAAATTTAATTAAACATACAAAAGTTTAAAACAGAAATAGAACACACATACATCCCAATATAAAAGACTTCCTGACAATGTCCTGAAACAGAAAAATGGACTGAAACTAATAGAATGAAGTTCAACAGAGACAAATGCAAAATTTCTGCAGCAAGAAATGCATTAAGGCTGCTCAGTGGTAGTGTATGTGCATAGATGCAGCTGGTCCTGAGGTCAATCCCAAACTTTGGCCCTCCAAGATGTTTTGGATTTCAGGTCCCAGAAGTCCCAGTCAGCTTGATCAACAGAAATTCTGGGACCTGAATTCCAAAACATCTGGATGACCAACGTTTGGGAACCACTGGGATAGAGAATGCCCACCTGCACCTCATTCAAAAAAGATCCCCACCCAAAAGATCCCCAAAGTTCCTCACCATCACCACCACTCTTCATCTTCCACAGATACCCATTCAAAGAGGAGAAGGAGGCAAGGTGTAGTTGATATACACAGGCTGACCATCACCTGTCTCAGGGCCCCACACCTTTTGTTCCCATCTCAGAATCAGGGTCCAGTCCAGCCCTCTGGCTTTTCCCAGATGATCATGTACCCTTCACCATGATTCCATCGTTTTGGTAGCTTCCCATAGTGAACACCACCTTCACACCTCACCATTTTAAAAGATTAAAACACCTTTATGAGTAGTCACAGCCTTAAGCAAAGAGATGCTTGTATTTTGGTTCTATCTTTTTCCCAGCCAAGAACTGGAATATTCCTCTGACCCCAAGTATCTCTCGAAGTGAATCCAGCCCTTGAGCTGAAAAAGAATCACATTGGCATCACACTGCTAACTCATGTTCAGTTTGTGGTCCTCTAAGACTCTTAGATCTCTGTTGTCAAGCCAGGTGTCCCCTATCCTATATCTGTCCATTTCATTTTGAATGACCAAGTGTAGTATCCTACATTTCTCCACATTGAAATTCATTGTGTTTTGGCCCAGCTTTCTAATGTGTAATTTTGAATTCTGATCCTCTCCTCTGGGGTATTGGCTACCCTTCCTAATTTGGTGTCATTTGCTAATTTGATATGCATGACCTCTCTGCTATCATGCAGAGGTCCCTGACAGATCTCAGCACTGATGATGAAATGCATCTGAGGAAGTAGGCTCAGGTCTACGAAAGCTCATGCTATCAACTTCTATCTTTTAGTTAGTCTCAAAAACCCCTTTGCGTATTGATTTTCCATACTAACACGGCTATGTCTTTGAATTCTATCATCCAAGTCATTAATGAAGATGCTGACCAGCACTGGGCCTGTAGTATCCCACTAGTCACTTCTCTCCAGGATGAATCTCTATGATTCTATGATTTCCCCCCTCCTTAGAATACACCCTAAACCAAGATCTTGCTGAAATTTGGAAATGTACTTCTAGCATGCAGCTATATGGCCATTTCCAACATCCCTTAAAAATCTATATGTAGACTTATGCTATGCTGAGCAACATATCCTAATGCTGCCCCAACCATTCTGTACTGTGCAGGCTGGATCAGAGAAGTGCTTAGCTACATCCTTATAGTCAGAAATGAAATGAGTACAGAAACACTGAGACCCACAGCGCTCCCTGACAGATCTCAGCATCGACATCATTTTGCGTCTGGCTATAGGGACATAGGCAGACACTCCTCCAATCCTTCCTGTTCACAGCAAAGCATGGACTGGTTGTGCAGGGAGCCTTTAGAAGTTTTACAGCAAATCCGAGGGAGAGCTTTGGGTGCTATGGGGGAAGGGAATACCAGCTCCTAGTGTCCAAAAAAGTGACATCCACATACATATGTCCCTAATATGTCCCTTGACTCCATGTCCGGCCCATGTCTCCCAATGCAACCCAATTTGCAGCAGAGATGCAGCCAGATATTTTAATTTAGTCAGACACACTGTGACAAATATCCTCAGGGGTCTTTCAAGGTCCTCATGGAGAATATCATTTCCACATATACAGCTAAAGGAAAATTGCCAGATGCATTTCTGCTTCGTCTGCCCCAGGCCTCCAGACACTTTTGGGGGAGAGCTGTCCCACTGAAAAGGTGGGTTTTGGTGTGTCTGTGAGCATTTTGATCATTGCATGGTCAGCACAGAATTCTGATGCCTAAATGATGAGAATGACAGACCTAGTGTCCTTTTCAACACACAGGGCTAAGTTGTGTTATCCATGTAGAGTTATACTCATGTATAGGCTGACCTCATGTATAAGACAAGGGTAGGTTTTGGGGCCAAAAATCTGGATTTTAATATACCCTGTGGATAAGTAGAGCGTAAAACTGAAGGGCATGTAATAGGGCTGAGAAGAGGCTATGGGAGGGAGCGTTTGCTCTCCTTGCATCCTCCTGGGAAGAGGCTTGGGAAGTGAAAGCTCCCTCGTCACTACTGTATTGAGCCATCTATAAATCGACCCAGGTTTTTGGGGTCAATTTTGTAGCATACATTTTTCGACTTATAGACGAGTATATACAGTTTTTTGGACAAGCTGATGGCGGAAGGGGTGGTGCTGGCCTTATAGAATTCTTGCAAATGTAAAATAAACAATGCACCTAGAGTAGTGTGTCAATGCGCACTGCCATTTTGCAAATGTGGAATG